ATATGCACAGAACAAGCCAGAAGTGGTGCTCTGGCTCAAGTGTTCCAACACTAGCCTTGAGCAAAAGAAGCTCAGAGACACTGCCCATGCCCTGAGTTCAAGCCCCAGGGTTGGAAAACAAAAAACAACAAAAAAAAAACCACCAAAAAGCCGCTCTCACTGAGTGCTGGTGGCTCATGCCTGTAATTCTAGCTACTCAAGAAGGCTGAGAACTGAAGATCACAGTTCAAAGCCAGCCGCGGCAGGAAGGTCCATGAGACTCTAAGCTTCAGTAAACAACCAGAAAACCGAAAGTGGCGTCATGGGTCAAGTGGTAGAGCATTATCCTTGAGCTAAAGAGCTGAGGGATAGCGCCCAGGCCTATAGTTCAAGTCCCACAGCCAACCAAAAAAAAGGGGGGGGGGCTGGGAAGGTGGCTCAGTGGTAGAGCGCTTGCCTTGCATGCATGAGGCCCTGGGTTTGATTCCTCAGCACCACATAAGCAAAAAGAAAAAAAGCGGGAAGTGGCGCTGTGGCTCAAGTGGTAGAGCGCTAACCTTGAGCTGAAGAGCTGAGCGACAGCGCCCAGGCCCAGAGTTCAGGCCCCACGACCAGACCCCCCCCCAAAAAAAAGAGAGAGAGAAATAGGAGATAGGGTGTCATGGTTCTGTATCATTTTATTCCCTTTTCAAAGAGAATAGGGATATTCTCTGTGTTTACAGAAGTCTAGGAGTTAGGAGAAGGATTTCTGAGTAACCAGGTTGTTTGCTTATGGAAGGGACAGAAGAAATTGGCCTGGGTGATCCTTGGAATTTCTGATGGAATATCTTCCAGGTGTGTAGTTTAGCCTCTTTGGCTCTGGTCTAATCTTGAACATAACTAAATTGGGGGTGGGGGGAACTGTTCACTTTGGATCTTTGGATCTGGATTATGGCATACCCAGTGGAAGCAAAGGAGGAAGACAGGAGAGTAATTACTGGTAATAGGGAAGGGGCTACCATCTATTGGTATTTGCTAGGTGCCAGACACCTTCCTTGGCTGTAGTGCTGAGAACTGTTCACTTTAGTTTGCTGTTTTAGATGAGAATAGTAAGGTTCCATGTGAGAGCCTTTTCCCAGTGTCATTTACCTTGTGAGTGACAGGGCTGAACTAGAACTTAGGTATGCTTCCAAACCCTAAGCAAATAGATTTTGTCTCCCTTTCCATGAGTGAAGGACAGATGATAAGGAACTTGGTCTAAAGTCATAGAAATAGTGTCAATGGTGGAAGGGTCTGAAGTCAGGTGTACCTCCCTCTAAAATGTATAGGGTTTAAATATTAAAAAAGAAATTTTAGCTAGGTGCCAGTGGCCTACACCTGTAAACCTAGCTACTCAGAGGCTGAGATCTGAGGATCGTGGTTCAAAGGTAGACCCGGCAGGAAAGTCTGTGAGACTCTTATCTCCAGTAAACCACCAGAAAACTGAAAGTTGAAAGTGGTAGAGCACTAGCTTTGAGTAAAAAAAAAAAACAGGGACAGGGCTGGGAAGGTGGCTCAGTGGTAGAACGCTTGCCTTGCATGCATGAGGCCCTGGGTTCGATTCCCAGCACCACATAAGCAGAAAAAGCTGGAAGTGGTGCTGTGGCTCAAGTGGTAGAGCACTAGCCTTGAGCTGAAGAGCTGAGGGACAGCGCCCAGGCCCAGAGTTCAGGCCCCAGGACTGGACCCAAAAACAAAAACAAAACTCAGGGACAGGCCTACGCCCTGAGTTCAAGCCTCACAACTGGAGGAAAAAAATAAGAGAAGTATTGGGACTTTCTTTTTTCTTTTTCTTTTTTTTGCCAGTCGTGGGGCCTGAACTCATCCTGGGTGCTGTCCCTCAGCTCTTCAGCTCAAGGCTAGTGCTCTACCACTTGAGCCACAGTGCCACTGCCAGCTTTTTCTGCTTATGTGGTGCTGAGGAATCGAACCCAGGGCCTCAGGCATGCAAGGCAAACACTCTTCCACTGAGCCACCTTCCCAGCCCCAGTATTGGGACTTTCTAAAATGCTCTAGGGCTGGGAAGGTAGCTCAGTGGTAGAGGGCTTGCCTTGCATGCATGAGGCCCTGGGTTCGACTCCTCAGCACCACATAAGCAAAAAGAAAAAAGCCGGAAGTGGCGTTGTGGCTCAGAGTTCAGGCCCCATGACTGGCAAAAAAAATAAAATAAAATAAAATAAAATGCTCTAGTCTGAGATTGGCTTTCAGGGTACTGTCTCTAACACTTAGGATCCTAACATCAATAAATTACTCTTGAAGTATATATGTATGTATGTATATGTATATATGTATGTATATATATGTATGTGTGTATATGTATGTGTATATATGTATGTATGTATATGTGTATATGTATATATGGATGTATGTATATAAAGGGTCTTATGGGCTTTCCTGCCTGGGGCTCACTTTGAACTGCAATACTAGATCTCAGCCTCCTGAGTAGCAAGGATTGTACGCGTGGCCATCAGCACCCAGCTAGCTTATTAACTAAGATATTATTAAGTAATTCCTTCATTCCTTAATGTAGGAAGAGAACATAATACCTTAAGAAGGATATTGAGGGCTGGGAAGGTGCCTCAGTGGTAGAGGGCTTGCCTTGCATGCATGAGGCCCTGGGTTCGACTCCTCAGCACCACATAAGCAAAAAGAAAAAAGCCGGAAGTGACGCTGTGGCTCAAGTGGTAGAGTGCTAGCCTTGAGCTGAAGAGCTGAGGGACAGCGCCCAGGCCCAGAGTTCAGGCCCCATGACCGGACCCAAAAAACAAAAAACAAAAAAAAACAAAAAAAAAAAGAAGAAGGATATTTGAATTGATCCAATAATCCCATTTCTGAGTATTTACTCATAAGATTTGAAATAAGTACTTACATTTCAAAAAGCTAGGAAAAAAGAATATGGTGGCACACATCTGTAGTTTTAACACTTGGCTTGGAAGAAGAGAATCTCTTTAGTCCAAGAGTTTAAGGCTGGTCTAGGCAACATAGCTAGTCAAAATAGGAGGATTTGTGAATGTTTTTACTGTAAGGAATAAATGATTAGGGTGGTAGCTCAAGCTTGTCACCTTAGCTTTTCCAGGAGTAAGAGATTGAAGGGTCATGGTTTGAAGCTAGCCTAGGCATAAGAAAGTTCTTGAGACTCCATCTCAACCAGTGGCTGGACATGGTGGTATGCGCCTATCATCCCCAAAGTAAAAGCAGGATCATAGCCTAGACTCACCTGCATAAAGCAATACTCTACCTCAAAAAAAAAAATTTAGCTGGGCATTGGTGGCTGACCTTGGAATTCTACCTATTGAGGAGACTGAGATCTGAGGATCAAGGTTCAAAGCCAGCATAGGCAAGAAAACCCATGAGACTCTTATCTCCAATTACCCTTAGAACAATATAAATTGTAAAGATGCCTTTTTTCTCTCTCTCTGCCAGTACTGGGACTTGAACTCAGGGCCTCATGCTCTCACTTGGCTTTTTTGCTGACACCTGGTGATCTACCTCTTGAACTATGCATCAGCCTGGTTTTCTTTTCTTTTTCTTTTTCTTTTTTTTGCCAATTCTAGAGCTTGAACTCAGGGCCTGGGTACTGTCACTGAGCCTCTTTGTGGCTCTACCATTTGAACCACAGCACCTCTTCCCGCTTTTTCTGTTTATGTGGTACTGAGGAATTGAACTCAGGGCTTCATGCATGCTAAGCAAGCACTCTTCCACTAAGCCACATTCCCAGCTCCCCAGTCCAGTTTTTTTTGATAGTTAATTGGAGATGGAGTCTCCCTGACTATTCAGCCCCAGGCTGGCTTCAAACCAAGATCCCCCAGACCTTCAGCCTCCTGAGTAGCTAGGATTACATGTGTGTGCCACCAGCACCTGTTATAAACCACTCAGTTGGCTCCTACCTGTAATCCTAGCTACTCAAGAAGCTGAGATTTGAGGATGGTGGTTCAAAGCCACCTAGTGCACTAAAGTCCATGAGTCTCTTATCTCCAATTAACTATAGAAAACCAGAAGTGGCACTGTGGCTCAAAAATGGTAGAGCACTAGCCTCGAGCAAAAAAAGCTCAGGGACAGCAACTAAGCCCTGAATTCAAGCCCTGTGACTGACCAAAAAAAAAATACTATAATAAAAAGTTAAGGGCTGGGAAGGTGGCTCAGTGGTAGAGCGCTTGCCTTGCATGCCTGAGGCCCTGGGTTCGATTCCTTAGCACCACATAAGCAAAAAGAAAAAAGCCGGAAGTGGCGCTGTGGCTCAAGTGGTAGAGTGCTAGCCTTGAGCTGAAGAGCTGAGGGACAGCGCCCAGGCCCAGAGTTCAGGCCCCACGATCGGACCCAAAAAAAAAAAAAATTAAAAAATAAATAAAAAGTTAAGCTGAGCATTGGGTGACTCATTCCTAAAATCCTAGCTACTCAGGAGGGTGAGATCTGAGGCTTGTGGTTCAAAGCCAACCCAGGTCTCTAATTAACTACCTAAAAGTTGGAAATGGCACTGTGGTACAAAGTAGTATAGCACTAGCCTTGTGTAAAACAAGCTTAGGACACACACAAACCCTGAATTCAAGCCCCAGGACTGGCACAAAACACAACAAAACAAAAAAGTTAAATTGGCCACCGTCTTGAATAAGTCGTTCATGAGTAAAGTTTCTGTACAATTTTAGGGCCTAGGGTGAACACATCTTCCAAGGGCTTAAAGTACAGCAAGGACAAATGTGTCGGTAGATGATAAATGTCTCTGAGGGCAAAGCAAGAAATTTGGGGAAAAAAAACCCAGCATCACTGAAAGATGCTATTATTTATTTATTTACTCTTGTTGGCTGCTGTTCCCAATCTCAGTTGCAATTCCCACATTGAGCCTGTTCCCACCCTTCCTGTGTCCCTTGAGCAGACACTTCCTGTCCTATTGGAAATGAAAGCTGGCGATTGGGGGGTGGATGTGGGTATGTGCGTTTACTCTGCAGAATGCTAGTATTGTCTGTGCTATTATCACAGCAAGAAAAAAAAAAGTGACAGGAAAACCAAGAGTAGAGACCAGGAGTTCATTTTAGGGAGAGTTTGGGATTCGCGTTCATTGTGATAAAGCAAATAGGTTTCATTTACTTCTGGAGAAGTCTTGGACCGATGGCAGCAAGTCAGCCTTATGCAGGGATCTGAAGGCCTTTATTTTATGTCCCTGTCGACTTGGATGGGTTGGGGTCCTTGTTTATCATTCTTATGTTTTTGATCTTCTGCAAGTTTCTTTTCTTGTTAAAACTGTGTCTCCAAGAGCTTTCCTTGGAAACTGTTAGAGGTGAGTCTTGTTGCCACTGTGATAGCTTCTTGACTCTTTAAGCTCTTTCTTGGAAAAGTTTGTATTTTTCTCCTCTGTGATATATATGCTTTTTCAATATTCATATTACTTTTTTTTTTCTAGCTCAGAGACGACTTGAAACAGGCATACTGACTCTGTGAAATTCAGCTTGGCCATAAATTCCAAGTTTGGTGAGTTACTGGACTTTTTTTCAGCTTTGTGGATCTGAAAGACTAGGAAATAGTGAGATAAAGAGTCAAATAAAGGCTGATGGGCCAGGGTAGAGTACTGACCAAACATGCACAAAGCTAGAATCATAGGCTTCATCCCCAGCACTGAGGGTAATGGGAGATCCAATAAGCCAGCTTCCACTTGCCAAAGAACTTGCTAGGCACTGAGGTTGATGGTATGGTTCAGTCCGAGAGTGCCTTTTTTCTAGGTGAATCTGAAATAGGAGTGTGAATTGGGATACTAGCCCAGCAGTGCAGCCCATGAGAAACAGAACTACCCAGGGTCTAAAATTACTTCCCATACTTTCTTTTTCTTTGCTCTTTGGAGGTACTCCCTCCCTTCCTTTCTCCCTTCCTCCCTCCCTTTTTCTCTTCCTCCTCCTTCTTCCCTCTCTCTCTCTCTCTCTCTCTCTCTCTCTCCTCTGTGTGTGTGTGTGTGTGTGTGTGTGTGTGTGTGTATACCAGTAGTGGGGCTTGAACTCAGGGCTTTACACTCTCATTTGGCTTTTTCCACTCAAGGCTGGTGCCTATCACTTGAGTCACCTCTACTTCTGTTTTTTTGCTGGTTAATTGGAGATAAGGGTCTCATGGACTTTCCTGCTCCCCTTGGCTTTGAGCCTCAGTCCTCAGCTCCCAACCTCCTGAGTAGCTAGGATTACAAGGCCTGAGTCTCCAGCACCTGGTTTGCTTTGTTTTTGTTCTTGGTTGGAGATCATCCTAGATGGAAGGTAGGGGAATCCCTGAGGGTACCTTACAGCTCCCTCAGTAAGATTTTCTTCTATGATCTCAAAAGTATCTAAGGGGTTACTTTAACATCAGGCCTGATACCAGCTTTAAGGAAGTGGGGAGGAGTTTGTGGTCTTTTTATGATAATCAGAACTTGTTCAGAGAGGAAAGTGGATGAGTTTCAAAGAGGTTAGACCTAAGAACTTCTTTTTGGCTTTAACTATGGAGCCTGTTGTCAGCAAACCAAAACAGAACATCTTGGGCATTAGGACCCAGTGGAGTGGCTTGTCCAGACTGTGAGTTAACTTCTCAGTGACGTACTGGAGCAGCCCTTGCTCATTCTTACCCACAGCACCCCCCCCCCCCCATCTCCCATCTCTCTCTCCCTCTCTCTCCCTCTCTCTCTCTCTCTCTCTCTCTCTCTCTCTCTCTCTCTCGCTTTCCTCTCTCTTCCCTCCTTCTCTCCCCCCTCTGTTCTTCCCTCCCTCCTCTCTTCTCCCTTTCTCTCCTCCTCCTTCCCTTTTCCCCCTCCCTTTCCTTTCTCTCTCTCTCTCTCTCTCTCCTCTCTCTCTCTCTCTCTCTCTCACGATCTCTCCCTCCCTCTCTCTCTCTTCCTCCCTCCCTCCCTCATTCCCTCTCTCCCTCTCTCCCTCCCTCCCTCTCTCTCTCACATCTCCCCCAACAGTAAGGAGAAAAATGCTGCTATCAGTGACTTCCAGGCCTGGGATTTCAACTTTTGGCTATAACAAGAACAACAAGAAGGTAGGGGAAAGCGCTTTTTTTTTTGGAATGTAGCTACTTCCTCTTCTGGGGATCTGCGAGTGCCCTTGGTTTTAGCAGGCTCCTTGAAGAGTGGAGCCAGATTCCTCCCTCTCAGCGCCTCTCTCCTTTCCTACCAATTTTTTGGTGCTCTTCTCACCTGGTTCTGGAGTTTAAAGAATTTACAGTTTCAGTGTGTGGGACCTGAGAAGGCAGAGAAATTAAAACAGCAACAATGACAACGGAACAGCCTGCAAGTTTATATCTTTGTGCAGTGGAGTTAGTTTAATTTCCCACTGATGTACAATCTTCATGGGATGAGCAGTATGTCATTTTAGAATTTGTCTCCCCCCCACCTCCACGTGGGTTTTTATTTGTTTATTTCGTTTTTACCTTTTGGGTCATTGTTTCTATTCTTCGCGCTATCTTTTTTCCTTCCTACCTATATACCACCAGATAGACAAGATCGCGGGTAGTCAGTGAAATCTCACAGTTCACCAAGAACTGGGTGGGTGCTTCTCAACCAGAATACACCCCCCCCCCCCCTCCGCCTTTACTCCCAGTAGCTCAAAGAAAACTCCAGAGGAGAATTGAGAAACTGAGAGAAATGCCTTGGGATTAAGGCAGAAAGCTCTGTGATTCTTTAGGTCTTTCTTTTGAGCTGGTACTTGGAGCTGTGCAGATAAGCCAGGCTTAGCTGGGATCCTTGGAGTCCTTACAATTAACCCATGGCTGCCAGAGGAGTTCTACTGTGGTTTGGCAAATGAGCAGTCCAGGGAGAGAGGGGACCTGCTTGCTCACATTTGCCAGGACACAGATTTGGTAGTTGCTTGGCGTTCCAGGGTACACAATCCTGATTAGAACAAACTATGATGCTGGGGCAGGAAGACTTTTTACCTACTGTTCTGGGTGTTGTAGTTGTTCCTTGAGGAAAAAAATGTGTATCAGTAGTTAGAGATTTAATTTTTATTGTTATTTTTCATCTAATATAATATTTGATAGTGGGAAAAGATTTCTGCTGCTTTCTCATGAACCTATAGATACCATTACAGATAGAAACTCAAATATCTGATTAGGTCAATAGACCCAAACGCTTCCTGTTAGTTTTCAGCTGTTGGTTTGATAGTATCCATTCTGTTGATGGCTTTAAGAAATAAAAGTCCATACATATTTTGTTGGTTACCAATATAAGTGTGTTTGTCCATATATCAAAATTCTTCCACCAACTATATAGGTCTTCCTCATGTATTATAACTATGCATCTGAAAAATTTCATCTGTATTCTCTTCAGATCTATATAGTTCTGTATACAAATTTCTTTCCTCATTTTGCTTTTTTCCAAGTTTTCTCAGATGACCTAGAACCAACTTAAATACCCATGCCCATCCCCCACCCCCCGCCTGCCAATTAATTTTTTCTTATTTCAGGATTTCCTGTCTGTGAAAATATCTCACATCTCTTTTCTCTGCTCTCCAGACCCTTTCCTGTCTTGGAGTATGGGTAATGGTTAACCAGCTTCCAAATCTAGTCTTATAGAGGGACAGAAGCTATGAGTGTGGCCATAGATTCAAGTCTCCTAACATTAATTGACAATCCAGTTTGAGTGAGAAGGCCAGGCAATGTTGGAACCTGTGGACAGGGATGGGAGGGAAGGAGATACATGATTCCTACTATATTTGTACATAATTCTCTGGGTTCTTGATGCTGTGTCCACATTATTTTGAGGCTGTGTGTGTGACTGCTTGTGAATGTTGGCTGTATTAATTATTATATTGCTCTTTGTCTTGGTGCTGACATGTAGAGTTTAATGTGTTTGACTGTGTTGGAAGGTGTTTTGGATGCATTTATTCATGTAAAATAATGTGTGTGTGGTAGGGGGGGAGGGGTCACTGTCCCTGAGCTTTTTTTGTTCAAGGCTTGGTGGTTAATTGGAGATAAGAGTTTCACAGACTTTGCTGTCTGGGTTGACCATGATCCTCAGATCTCAGCCTCCTTCATAGCTAGGATTATAGGCTTGAGTCATGAGCACTTAGTCTGTTTATATAAATTGGTGCATTTTTACCTAAGGCTAAAACTTTAAAATAACTTTCATTAGTTTAAGGTGATAATTGTAAGACATAGTTATTTCTAAATAAAACATAAAGAAATTTATAAAATAACTCTTCCTTCATGTCCTTATGCCGATTCCAGTCCTCAAAGAAAATAACAAGAAATAGTCCGTCCAGACTGTTCTATGTCAGGACAGTTTCTATTTTGACAATGGCTAGTTTTCCATCTCTGTTAAAAATCTCTGTTACACAATAGACCAAGTATATTGAAGTAGAGTTTTGGCTCAAGCGGTAGAGCACCATCCTTGAGCCAAAAAAGCTTAAGGATCAGTGCCTAGGTCCTCAGTTCAAAACTCAATACTGGTAGGAAAACAAAAACACAAAACACTGTTATTGGGCCTAACCGAAAGGGTTCAGAAGTAGGGCTGTTGCTCACTGGAACACGTGCTTAGCAGGCACAAGGGCCTGAGATGGGTTCTGTCTCTGTACCTTTACTCTTCCCCAAATCTTACTGCATGATTTACTTTTGGCTATAGTCATCACCTCCAGTTTGTGAAATAATTATAATATAATATTATAATTGCCAGTGATAACAGTTTGGAAAGCTGATATTTTACTTAACTTTAAAAAAGTAGGGGCTGGGAATGTGGCTTAGTGGTAGAGTGCTTGCCTAGCATGCATGAAGCCCTGGGTTTGATTCCTCAGTGCCGCATACACAGAAAAAGCCGAAGTGGTGTTGTGGCTCAAGTGGTAGAATACTAACCTTGATCAAAAGAAGCTCAGGGACAGTGCCCAGGCCCTGAGTTTAAGCCCAGGATTGGCAAAAAAAAAAAGAGATTATTTTATTCTGAAACATGTTGGTATGTTTCTCTTTATGTAACTCTGCAGGGAAGGTGTTTTTCTGAGATACTTATGGCAGATATAAGAAATATAGAAATGTAGTCAACAAATGTACTTAATGCTTAAAAAAATGCCCAATTCCCATCCATTTCTTTGGAATTAAAATAGTTGCAGAAGAAAGTAATGTAGCTTTCAAAAGGAGATTCTGCAAGATAATTTAATGTGCCATTTTTTTTATTTTTTTATTTTAATCATCAGTCTTAATGGCCTTCAGCTACTCTTGGTTAGTTGAGTCTGAATCCAGAAAGATTCATCCTAGCTTCTGAACAAAGTGTCTTGGGGTTTGAAGGGATTGCCTCAGTAGAGGGACTCAGTATAGGTGAGAGTGGAAGAGGAAATGTTTGGGACTGAAGGAATTTCATACTTGCAAAGGGTTAGCCACGCCTCCGCTGACATCATCTCCCTGGCATGTGTTATTATAATTTAACTCCTCCAGCATCAACAGTCATTTCCTTTGGGCTAAAAGAAAAGGGACTGCTTTTCATTTGGAATAATTACTTTCCCTTAGTATTTTGCAAAAAAAACACA